TTTTGTTTTATTGAAGAGACGCGGGTTCACCAAGTTGCCCAGGCTGGTCTCGAACCCGTGGGCTCAGGCAGTCCTCTCACCTCAGCCTCCTAACGTGCTGGGATTACAGATGTGAGCCACCGCGCCCGGCCACGTTCCCTTTAAAAAAAAATTGGTAGGAACATTTATTATGTGAAATTGAAATTATGTGATTCCTACGTGTGTGTTGGGACTTGCTAGCAGAAGCATCTGGACCTGGTGCTTACTTTATGGGACAGTATCCATGAAATCAGAATATAGCCGGAGTTCCACATTGCTCCTGAAGTCATTCCCGTCAGCTCTCCTTGGCTGCATGTACTGTGAAGAGAAGCAGGACCTCTGGAAGCCTGCATAGCTGTTGTGAGGGTTTCCAGGTGAAGAACACAGGGGGAAGAAAGGGAAACTTATGGGTAATATGAAGATACTAGCTCAGCTCTGTGTGTAGCCAGATAAAATGGAATTGTTGTTTTTGAACTGAAGTTTAGAAAACTTCCTAAAGAGTCCAAGGAAAGATGCCAAAAGTAACAAGTTTTAAAATAGCGGCCCAGGTCCTGACAAAAGATTATGTTTCTGTGTAGGTTTGTAGAAAAAGATTCGTATTTTCTTTTCCTTTTTTTTATAATCAATATTTTTTATTGTGATATTGTGGGGTACAGTTAAGGGTTAGGTATACAAATATGCTTCGTTCAGGCACCCTTGTTAATAAGAGGTGTCTCCCCATCCCCAGACAGATACTGACTACCATTAATCCCATCAAAACCATCTCCCTTAAGATTTGTATTTTCACATTAGCATTTTCTAAGACACTCACTTAGATTCTAATTCTCACTAGCGGCGGCAGTATCTTTAAGATGACAATGCGCACGTTTTTCGTTTGTTAGGAAATAATTACTAACATATATTTTAATTTGGGTCCTTAGCACATGCTGCTTTGTACTGTTCCTAGTTTATTTTGCTAGTCTGTTCCTTAATGGGACCATATCTTGTAACTTTTTTTTTTTTTTGAGAAGGGATTTCACTCTGTTGCCTAGGCTGGAGTGTAGTGGCATGCTCCTGTCTCTCTGCAGCCTCAACTTCCTGGGCCCACAGGATGCTTCTACCTCAGCCTCCCTAGTAGCTGAGACTACAGGTGCACACTACCACTAATTTTAGAAAAGTTTTTAATAGGGACGGGGTCTTACTATATTGCCCCGGCTGGCCTCAGACTCCTGGACTCAAGTGATCCTCCTGGCTGGACCTCACTAAGTGCTGAAATTACAAGTGTGAGCTACTGTGCTCGGCTTAGCTTTTTATTTTTTGTACACTTAGAGGTGCTTTCTGCATATGTTATCTTTGTTTAAATTATGGTTCTTGACTAGGCATGGTGGCTCAAACCTGTAACCCCAGCACTTTGGGAGGCGGAGGCAAGAGGATTACCTGAGCTCAGGGGTTCGAGACAAGCTTGAACAACATAGCGAGACCTCATCTCTACGCTAAATCAAAAAATTAGCTGGGCATGGTGGCACATGCCTGTGGTTCCAACTACCTGGAAGACTGAGGCGGAAGGATCACCTAAACCCTGGGTGACAAGAGTGAGACTCTGACCCCCAACAACAACAAAAAAGTATGGTTCTTGACTGTACAAGCATTTTTCAGTCTTTTCCCTAACTGGGTATGTATTTTAAAATTTTGGGTAAACATTGAAATGGAACTCTTAAAATATAACCATGCTTTTAGAGTGAAGTTCTAATAAAAAGTGTATTTTGTCAGCCTGAGATCACACAGTAAACTCTGAATTGTGCACCTTAGAGCGACTTTTACTTTTACTGCTACATTGAAACCTCTCTGATCCAGATCCTAGTAAGCTGTGTGTAATAACAGTACAGAGGTGTGGCCTAAAGTAGATCTTTTCATGATTCATGTTTTATCTAAGTAAATATATCATATGAGCTAGGTCATGGAGAGAGTTTTCTCACTGCTTAATATAGTAAATCATTTTTAGTTACCAGCATGTTACGTGGTCAGCTTTCACTGACTTCCATGTAGTTCTGGTTTATTACCATATAGCTGTTAAAGCAGATTCCCTATCTAAAGGCCCGTAGCAGGAAACTTATCTTTGGCAAGGCTTGAGAAGCTGTAGTTACCAGATAATGAAACACTATTGCATTTCTTTGTAAATATTATGGAATGATGACTTTTCAACAAGCCACATACTTTTCTTACAGCTCTCTGTGTTTCCCTTCTCTGTCCATCCTAGGACTTAACTAAATAAGAGGTGCTTGATTCTGTCCATCATGTTCTTTGCTACATGTGTTTTGTTTATCCCTTATGCTAGAATTATGGATATCACACTTTTAAGAAGTTAGATAAGAGGAGTTTGGTTGTAGGCGCCCAAAGTTTGTTTCTTTAGTCTTTCCTCAAAGGGGGAAACACAATTTATATTTTCAATGGGCAAACCACTTTATCCGGCCATCTTAAAATCCAGCCCTAATTGATCAATCAATGAAGGGCGACGTATTTTGTATTGCTTTGCTTCCACTGACTTGAATGTCTCAAAGCCTATGGTTCAATACCTGGGTTTTACTCATTAGCATTTAAATGGAGAAAAAAAAATTATCGTCTAGGTGGATTTTGCCGGTTATGTTCTGTCGGGACAAACAGATGATGTGTTTAAGAATTGTTTGTGCCAGAAACGATTTGCAGAAGCCTGCAGGAGTTCTTCCCCAGCTTTCCCTGAGAGTCCAGGGACATTCCTGCAGCCCCAGTTGGATGGACGTGATTCCTTCTCTTCGGTGCCTTCCGAGCCTTCCTCCTCATTTTCTCCAATCTTTCTCTTGGTCTCTGTGCATGTGTGCTCCGTCAATGAGCATGAAGTGCCAGTGACTGGAGGCTGGCATGAGAATGCGTTCAGACTTGCTTGGCCATCTGTCTTTGGGCAGAGGTGACTGGGTTCCCTGTATCTGAGGACAGCAGACAGCCCTGCTCTGTTCCTTGGTGACCGCTTGGGAAGTAAACCCCTGAAGCAAACTGGAGGGGTGAGAGAGGGCTGGAAGCTGGTCCAGAACCATAGTATTAATAATGAGATCCAAAACTTAGAGTACTATGTGCCAGATAGGAAGTACTGTACACAAGCTGATTTTCTCAACCCTCAAACAACCCTATGAAATAAGTGCCGTCATTATTATTTTTTCCTAACTGCTAGAATGTATGGGAGGGTAATTGAGGCTGGAAAAGGCAAGTGTCTTAGTCTGTTTGGGCTGCGGTAACAACCAAATGCATTGCTCACAGTTCTGGAGGCTGAGAAGTCCCAGGTCGAGGCATGGCAGGTTGTGTTTGATGAGTGCCTGGCTTTCTAGCTACCTCCTCGAGCGGTGGAAGGGACAGACAAGCTCTCTGAGGCCCCTTTGATAAGGGTGCCAGTGCCATTCGGGAGGGTACTCTCATGACCTGATCACCTTCCAGATGTACCACCTGTCATCTCTGCCACACTGGGGATTCAGTTTAAAATACACATTTTAGGGGGGCACAAACGTTCTGACCGTAGCACCAAGTAATTTGCTCTAGTGATGAGTTAAAACAAAGACTGATGGGTCCACAAATGAGTCTCATTCCCAGACCGGGAGCACCCTCCCTTCTGGGGATTTTGTTGGCCCAGGGAAGGAGGCTGGAGTGTCACTCATGTGTAGCTCTCTCTGCTCCAGTGAACAGAGGAGTACAAGAAATTGTAACGTTCTAAAATTGGAGATAAAGGACACTGAAGAGGTTGTCTGATTCCTCCCCTCCCCTGGCGTATGAATCTTTCTCAAATATTTCTGAGAGTTCTTCCAGCTTTTGCTGGAATGCCTCAATGATTAAGGAACTTGTGCTAAAGAAGTTTTTCTTTTCTTTTTTTGAGTTGGGGTCTCACTCTGTTGCCCAGGCTGGAGTACAGGGGCACAATCATGGCTCACTACAGCCTCTTGAGCTCAGGTGCTCCTTCTGCCTCAGCCTTCCCAGCTGCTAGAACTACAGGTGTGTACTACCTCACCAGCTAAGTTTTTTGTAGAGATGAGGTGTTGCCCAGTCTGGTCTTGAACTCCTGGGCTCAAGCAATCCTCCTTCCTTAGCCTCCTGAAGGATGGGGATTGCAGGCATGAGTCCCTGCGCCCAACCTAGAGAAAGCTTTCTGACGCAGACCCAGCTTCCCTGTAACTTCCATGCCCTCCACAGTCCTCTTTCAAGCTCTCCTACCCCCTGTCCTGCTCCCTGATTACGGGTACTGTGCCTTTGAGTTACCTCTGGCTGCCGGAGAAGTCAAGAAAGGCCATCTTGCCTGGTCTGCCATTTCTGACTTGGTGGCACATGAAACCAGAGTTCTCTTCAGAGGACAAAGCAGGGAGCTAAGGGTTTGTGCGTGGGCAGTCCTCCTCCAGTGGGAGCTGGCAGCTTGCTCACATACTCACCCAGGAGCTCGATGCCTGAATGGCTTGTGACCTGGCATCCATCTCTACCTCTGGATGGAAACATGTTTACTGTGGCCTGGGGGCATGCCAGACAGGATTTCTGCCCCGGTGTTTCAGGCAGGATCCTGGAGTTGCATCCCACTGTTGACTCAAATATACATTCAAGTCCCTGTAGAAGGTGGATGAGATCGCTTCTGGCATTATAATAGAATTCTTCTGTTATGCTGTGTCTGGGTGAATACGTGGGCTTGTCTCCCACCCACAGGTGTGTCTCCTGGGAGCAGGGTGAGGATGCTCCAGATGACTCTTGCTCCCTAAGGAATGAACAGGATGGCATGTGGCCGCAAGCACCTGCATGTGTGGTCCTTTGCTGGGTTCTCCCTGTTGTCTGGTGGGTAAGGTCGTGGGAAAATGTTTTCTTTCCATTGTTCGATGGTGTTGACTGACTTTCTTGAACAGAAATGGTAGCTGAGGAATCTGTGTCCTTCCTGTGACATGACGCGCTTCTGCATCTTCCTCGTTCCTCCGAAACCCATCTTCTTCCCCTTTCTCCTCCCGCAGATCCGCCAGCAGACATGATGAGCATCAAGGCCTTCTCGCTGGTCTCTGCCGTGGAGCGGGAGCTGCTGATGGGCGACAAGGAGCGCGTCCACATCGAGTGCGTGGAGTGCTGCGGCCGGGACCTCTACGTGGGGGCCACTGACGGCTCCATCTACCACTTCCTGCTAGAGGAGAAGCCCGCGCCTGCCGGGCCAGCTGTGTTCACGGCCACCAAGCAGCTGCACAGACACCTGGGTTTCAAGAAGCCGGTGAGCGAGCTGCGTGCGGCCTCGGCCCTCCACCGGCTGCTGGTGCTGTGCGACAACTCCATCACGCTGGTCAGCACGGTGAACCTGGAGCCCGTCCCCTCGGGGGCCCGCATCAAAGGGGCAGCCACGTTCGCGCTGAACGAGAACCCCGTGAGCGGGGACCCGTTCTGCGTGGAAGTCTGCATCATCTCCATCAAGCGCAGAACCATCCAGATGTTTCTGGTGTACGAGGACCGGGTGCAGATCGTCAAGGAGGTGTCCACCCCGGAGCAGCCGCTGGCCGTGGCCGTGGACGGCCACTTCCTGTGCCTGGCGCTGACCACTCAGTACATCATCCTGAACTACAGCACGGGCGTCTCCCAGGACTTGTTTCCCTACTGCAGCGAGGAGAAGCGGCCGATCGTCAAGAGGATTGGGAGGCAGGAGTTCCTGCTGGCGGGCCCAGGAGGGCTGGGTGAGGAAGACTCGCTGGTGGGGCCTGTTCTTCTTGGGGGGGCTCTGTGAACGCATGGGGACGTTCCCAGCGAGAGAGGAGCTGGGCAAAGTAGATACCCGTGAAGGGTGTCGGCCAGCATTCGAGATGTGCGGCCAGATGTGCAGAAGCACATACCCAGCGTTTGGGAAAGTCCCATTCGATGGTTCTGTGAATGGGGGGTGAGTGGAAGAGAAACAGACTGTTCCTAAAAGCAGTTTTATTTCACGTAAAGTGGAGCTTGAAGGGCCCTCTTTTGGGAAAATTCTGTGGCGTAAATAACTACCAAAAATTATCCTCCGTGAGGCTTCCTTCTAAGGTTTTCCCATGTGGGTGGGTTTGTCACTTGATTGGTTTTGCTCTTCATTCTAAAGAGTTGAGGTAGCTGGCTAAGTGTTTTCAGATGTGAAGTCTTCACTCATGTGTTCATAACTTTCTGTTTTCTTTCCTCTCATTTCATCCCACAGAAAAGTTTTTAGAGGCTAGCTCCTTGAAAGTGGCTTTGGCTCTTCTTGTGTGGCCTCGGCTCGTTCTCTAGACTGTCTTCTCAAAATTAAGAATCAGAGCTATTCACATGAGCGGTGTCTTCTGGTATTCTCTTTCTGTCACGGGCGGCTCATATTAGAATTAGCGTATATGTGTATGTTATGGGGGTGCTTGTGAAAGTGAGTCCATTTTAATGCTGTTTTTTTTTTTAATGGAGAATACAGTGGAAAGTACAGAGAGTTCTCCTGCATTTCCTGCCCACCCAGTGTCAACATCTCCAGTGACAGTGGGACATTGGTGACAGCCGAAGACCCTGTCTTGGCCCATCATTCTCGTTGAGTCCCTGGTTTATAGTAGGGCTTACTCCTGGGGTTGTATGTTCAGCGAGTTCTGACAAATGTGTGATGACACATATCCCCCATGATGGCATCATACACAATCTTTTCATCACCTTAGAACTCTTCTGGGCTCCCTCATTCATCCGTCCCCTCCTCCAGCAACCACTCGTCTTTTTATGGTCTCTGTAGTTTTGCCTTTTCCAGACTGTCATATAATTAGAAACACATAGTATGCAGCCTTTTCAGATTGGCTTCTTTCACTTAGTAATATGTACTTAAGGTTCCTCCACGTCTTTTCATGACTTGACAGCACAAATCTTTACTGTTTGAAGAAAAAATTATTGACCCCAGCCAATTATTTTCTTCAAAAAAAGTGAAGAATTTGTACTAGGAGTTGTTTTTATTGTAGACGATATATTTGTATAAACAGAAAAGACAGTAGCATAATGAACCTGAGGTGGCCATCACCCAGCATCAAGCGTTGTCAGTTTCTTTATACATCTTTCACTTCCTCTGCTTGGTGTTTTGAAGCAATTCTCAGACGTCATAGCATCTCATCTCTAAATATTTTAGTGTTTATTTCTTTTTTTTGTTGTTTTTGTTTTGTTTTGTTTTTTGTTTTTTGAGTTGGAGTCTCACTCTGTTACCCAGACTGGAGTGCAATGGTCGCTCCTGGCCACCGCAGCCTCGACCTGCTGGGCTCTGGCGATCCTTCCGCCTCAGCCTTCCAAGTAGTTGGAACTATAGGTGGGCGCTACCACGCCCGGCTGATTTTTTGATTTATTGTAGAGATGAGGTCTCGCCAAGTTGCCCAGGCGGGTCTTGAAACCGCGGGCTCAGGCAATCCACTCACCTCAGCCTCCCAAAGCACTGGGATTACAGGCTGAGCCACTGAGCCCGGCCTAGTGTTTATTTCTAAGTTACAGCTACTTAAGATACCCACAAAACTCTTACACTCCTAAAAAAAACCTGACAGTAACTCCTTAATTTCAAATATGTCTAGATGTGAGTAGTAGAGAGACACATAATATAAACATAGATCTATGTTTAAGTATTCGTAGGTTTGTTTTTTGGTTTTTTTTTTTGCTTGTTTGAATCAGTTTCAAATAAGGCCCATGCATTGCAGTTGGTGGATCTGTTATACTTCTTTTATCTAGGTCCCTGTTCCCTCTCATTTTATTTTTCTTTAATTTTTTGTTGAAGAAATTGTATGGTTCCACCTATAATCTCCCACAGTCTGGATTTTGATGATTCCACCCGTTTAGTATCGTTTAATATGCCTCCCTGACCTCTGTGATTCCTGCAAATGGGTACTTGGGAGACTCAAGGTGTTGTTTTTTTCTTATTTCCTCGTTTTGGGGGAGAGCGAGGCTACTACATAGTGGTAGGGTGCTTCCATCCCAGGTTACATAATGCCTTTTTCTCCTGTGTGTGATGTTAATAGCTTTTAGTGGTTATTGCCCAGATCCATTCAATCATTAGGGGGCTGCTCAATGGTGACATTCTATTTCTTTCATGTCCCCCTTCATATATGATGGGAAATGCTTCTGGGAAGAGAAGCTTCCCCTTAACTGTTTGCCTTAACTGTTTGGCTACCCTTTGTGTTTTGTATAAACAGGCTGAATGGGGCAAAATACCTTGCCTGACTATTTTTTGTTTTGTTTTGTTTTGTTTGGAGTTGGGGTCTCACTCTGTCGCCCAGACTGGAGTGCAGTGGCATGCTCCCGGCCACCGAAGCCTCCACCTGCCGGGCTCCGGCGATCCTTCCGCCTCAGCCTTCCAAGTAGCCAGAACTACAGGCGCGTGCTACCTCGCCCGGCTATTTTTGATTGATTGTAGAGACGAGGGCTTGCCAAGTTTCCCAGGCTGGTCTCGAACCCTCAGGCTCAGGCAATCCACTTGCCTCGACCTCCCAAAGTGCTCGGATGACAGACTGAGCTACCGAGCCTGGCCGGGCAATTTTCAATAAGAGAGTCCCTTCTGTCTTCCAGAAATGACTTTCAAAACAGCGTTATTATTAATTCTTGAACTTGAATGTACATCATGCGCTTGGTTCCCTCCATGCCTGGTGGGGTTTTATTTGGGTGGATTCACCAATGTCTTTGAGACTTCCCTAGAAATCGGATAGCTTCCCTGACTTCGGGCATTCCTGCTCTGGGTCTGGTTTCAGCCATCTCTCCAAGGAGCGCTGATGTTTATAGACAACAGTCTGGGAGATAGAGGTGCTTGTTGTTCATTGTTTCCAGGCCTTTTTAGCAGACAGTGCTGGGATGTATGCATTTTTTATTTTTATTTTGCTTTTTTGGAGATAGAATCGTGCTGTGTTGCTCAGGCTGGTCTCGAACTCCTAGGCTCATGTGATGCTCCCACCTTACCTCCCGAGTAGCTGGGACTACAGGTGCTACCACATCCAGCTAAGTTTGTTTTTTAAAAGAGAACTGCATCGTGAGGTCATATTGCTAGAACCATTCCATCAGCATATCTGTGTCTCCTTTCAACCACATCAAAACTCTTCTCTACCACCCCAACAGAATTATTCTTGGATTTATCCCGTGGTACCCAGCACAGAATAGCAGGACCAACACTACTGTTTCTGCAGTATAATGACTGGAAAAAGTTTGATGGTTTGTGGTTCTTTTTATCCTTCGGGTGTTAGGAATATACAGTCAAATTACTGCATTTCAAAGTCACTTGGAAGAGTTCCCCTAAATGTGGTTATGCCACCAACTGGATGTACAACTTGATTGGTTGGTTTCGTTTCACTTTTGATTTTTAGACTTTGCTTTAGTTTATTTTTTTTTTATTATATAAATATTTACAAGGTTCCAAGGCAAATGGATACGGCAAGATCTAATCAAAGAGGTCTAGCGTATATCCTGTTTTTCACTTAGTCTCTCCCTCCCCCATGGGTAACTTTTATTTGGGGAGTTTATCCTTTTATTTTAAAATAAAACATAGACACAAATATGTGTCTCCCTCCTTGGCTCAGTGGTAGCGTGCTTTATTTCATCTGCTTTTTTAACTTACTGTATCCCGGTGCTCACTTCGTAAGATAATCTAGAGGTGGTGCTCCTGCCCTTCTGCAGCTGCGTGCTACTGGTCTGTAGCTATTAATAGGGACTTATCTGTATGTGTGTGTTTTCAGTGTATCTATGGCAAAGCTTTCCAGGGGTGAGATGGCTGAGTCAAAGTGTAATGCGGTGTATTGGCAGATTTCCCCCTCGATTATTATTTCTCTCCAACGACCTGTGACGCTGCCCGTTCCCTCCAGCTTTGCCAGCAGAGTATATTGTCCACTTGTACATTTCTGCCTTGGTGCACGAAGAATGGTTTCTCAGTACAGTTTTAATTTACAGTCCCCTGTTATGTGCAGGGTTGAACATTTTTCAAGTTTAGAACCATTTGCATTTCTTTACCAGGCAGTATATCTTCGTACTAGCCTTTTTTGGGAGGGAGGATTCTTTAAGTATTTAAGACGCCAGCTTCGCTGTTTTGTATGTTTTAAATATCTGCTTCCAGTTTTTACTATGCAAAAGCTTTTTACAAAATATCTATATAATCTTGCCAGGTATGGTGCATGTGCCTGTAGTTGCAGCTACTCAGGACTGAGGTTGAAGTGGGAGGATTGCTTGAGCCCAGGATTTCAAGGCTGCAGTGAGCTATGGTCATACCTGTGAATAGCCACTGCCCAGGTTAAACACAAATTCATCGTGTTTTCTGCTAGTACTAGTGTGGTTTCACGTCTTATAGTGAAGAGTATAAGGAATGATAAACATTCAGTTTTTGCGGGGGAGGATAGGAGGGTGGGGAGGTGTGATTGACAGTAGTCGATATCTGCCTGGGGAAGGGGGCATACCTCATCGATAAGGGTACCTGCACGATGAATATTTGTATACGTAGCCCTGAAATGTACCCCACAATTCTAAATAAATAATAATTTTTTTAAAAGAAAACAAAAATACAATAAATACCAAAAAAAGAGGACTATAGACCAAATAAACCAATTTTTTTTAAGGAAAAAAAAAAACATTCAGTTTTATCTTTCGTATATGACTGTCCAATTCTTCCAGTACTCTCAATAAAGAATCCATCTTTTCCTCACCGATTGAGGCGGCCGCCTTTAACGCACACTAAATTTCCTTATGCCATCGGGCCTGTCTCTGTATTTTCTGTTTTGTTCCGCCAGTTAATTTTTCTATTCATGTGCCAATACCTACAGACTTTTGTGGTGTAAATATTTGACTCCAATATCCCCATGGTGGCTGTAGTGTTGGGATTGAAGGGAAATGATAGGGAATCATGTTTGGGTTGCATTTTTTTCCCCCAAGCTTACTCTGTCTCAGCTATGTGGACCTCATGCCAAGTGAACCAACTTTTTTTTTTCCTTTCCTTTTTTAAAAAGATTATTTTATTTTTAAAATGTGGGGCACAAATGAGGGTTAGGTACATACGTGGTCATCATACAGGTAAAGCGTGGGTGCCCTTATTGATGTCATGTGCCCTCCCCCTCCCCTGGCAGCATCCCACTACTGCCATTTCCTTTCTTGTAGTCTTATGATAAATGTTCAGGGTCCACTGGTGAGTGTGCATATTTGGCACTCAGATCTTTTTTCCTGTGATGAATCACTGAATATTATAGAGTCTGATTCCATCCAGGTTGCTGCAGATTTCATAATTTTGTTTTTCTTTGTGGCTGCCTGATATTCCATCATATAAATGCACCACATTTTCTTGATCCAGTCCACTTGTGGTGCGATGAACCAACCTTCTTAATTTTGGTTCTGCTTGCGATTGGTCCAGTTATAAGCCAATGGAAAGAGCACTTGTAAGGTCACGTGCACACTACCTACATACAGGTTCTCTATATGGTATGGTAACCACCACCATCTTTTTATGGCCTCAGAAGTTAATAGCTCGGACAAACTACTATATGAATATTTACATTCAATATGATGAATGTAAACCCTTTAAACATAGGAGGGTGCATTTCCATTCTGTCTGCCGCCCTTCTCCCTGAATATGACTCATGATTATTCCTGTTACTGCTGTGAATGTTTCACAAAGCAAAGCCAAAAGCGGTTTTCACTTGTGTGGACGTTTTCCTAATGCGATCGATTATCGTGACGACAAACACCGTCTTATGGTAATGCTTCTCGAAGAAGGCACAGAACTCAGCCACTGTTCACCCCCTGTGGTCCCCATCCCACCCCCGCTTCCCACCCCCACTTCTACCCCTGCTACTTCAGTAAGGGGTGGACTGAAACTTAGAGGGTGCACGACTGAAAGTAATGGTTTTAAAAGGTGTGGCACTTACATATTTGCGACATCTGCATGTTGACAGCACCTGCACTCTTGCACAGTAGACTCTTAGTACAGACCCAATAGACTTTTATCAACGGCATGGCAGGAATAGAATCAGTTGTTCATAGGGCGCCGCGGGCCTTCTGCGACCTCTCGTCCTGGATGCCCCATTTTCCAGCTCCCGCTTGCTTCTTTATTCTAGTGACAGCTTTGCTTTTCTTTTTGTGTAGATGCCTTTATTCTTGACCTCTGGTTTTTGCCTTTTTTTAATTTCAAGAACAGTAGCCGGGCCCCTGCACTGTGTCACCCATAGTCAGAGGATACCCAGCCTTAAGTGAATAAATTCAATGGTCCGGTTTTAATTCCAGGATGAGGCTGGACAGCGTTATCGGCGCCCATGGGACCTGACAGTTGTGCTGTCGGGGCATGTTATTTGACACAAAATTCAGCCCCATCCTCATGATTACTCCACGCCTGTCCCTTCGCTAGTTTGCATCTCACCAGGCACCCGGGTGAAGGTGGCATGCGCCATGCCCGTGGGTTGCTGCCCTTTCTTCTTTCAGCCCTGTTTAGCGGACCGTTGCCAAATGCACAGTCCAATGCGCTCACATAATCACCTCCTCGTAAACTCAGTCTCAATGCATTCTGCAGCTCTGCACCTCATGTTTCTTTCCTTCAGCAGTTTTGATGCTCTTTGAATATACTTTAGTGTTACTATTGTTGAATTAATGAACACTTTAATTACTATAAAGCACCAGAAATGCCAAACTCCATGCCTCCAGTTAATGTGTAGTGTTGTCCCGCCTCTGGAGCAGAGCCAGACGGCCCTTATTACTTGGTTTTACCTTTTAGATCTTGGTGTATTTTTTCTGTGTTTCCATTAAACTTGTGGCCTCCTCATCCACTCAGCATAACTCTTAGCTCTGGAGCACAGTGAAAACCAAACACCATCAGTAGCAGTGGTTCTTGGGTCTGCTCTGCAGAAATGTTCTTTCTTGCTTCGTCTTGAATTCTCTGGCTTTTTTATTTTATTTTATTTTTTTGCTCCATGGAACAACTTGTTCTGTTCAGGAAGAATGCTGTTATCCTCCCAGAAAGCACTTGAACTCCTGTCTCCTCTCGTCCAGTCTACACATCCTCCAGTTCTATGAAGCCATCCAAATTCCTTGCTTTGCTTTAAGCCAGCCAGTGCTGATGGTTCATGAGGCAGACAGCCCCATGGTGGCCTTTGACTCACCTTCTCTCTCGCCTCCCAGTAAGACAGATGCCAAGTTCCCTAGAGTCACCTCTGGGGTGTTTGCCCAGCCTTCTCTTGCACTGCTGGCTGCCTCTCTCACTGTCTCTGCTCTACTCTTGTGCTCTCCTGTGTGTACCATAGAAGCCATTTGTCTACTGCAGTAGTATCTAAGCCTTTGGAGGCAGCAGCATGCTCTTTTCAACGTGTTTTTTGTTTGTTTGTTTGTTGCCAACTACTTACTATGGAAGCTAAGTTAAAATGGATTGACTCTACTCGGTAGATATATTGACTTTGGCAACCCTCAGTCTCCTTGGTGGACTGTATACAGCTAAGTTGGAAATGGCTAGTTTAGTGTTTTATGCACAAGATAGATAAGCTGCCATCTGAAATGGAAGTTATTATTGACAAACACCTCATAGCAGTCTGTCTTGAATTGCAAAATTGATTCTATCTCTGTATTACAGAGTAGTATAGAGCCAGTTATCCAAAATCAGACTTCGGCCCTGAGTGTGGACAGTTCCTGATAGAATATCTGGTAGAGCACCTGGCGTCTAGTGGATTCTCAGTAAATATGTGCGGAATGAATGCATAAGGACAAACGATAACTTGGGGAAACCAGCTAGAGAACCGGATAGGAAAGAAAGCTTGCAAAGTGTCCTAATTGTTGGAGAGTAGCTTTTTCTCCACACGAGGACATGTGTTTCATAAAACTTCATGTGGGCTACATGGAAACATTTTTATAGCTATTTTTTTAAAATTCAGGAGGTACATGTGCAGGTTTCATCACGTGGGTTTTACTGGGTGATGGAGAGATTTGGGCTTTCAATGAACTCGTCACCCAAATAGTGAAACATGGTACTCAATAGGCAGTTTTTAACCCTTTCCCCCCTACCTTCTTCCCCTGTTCAGGGGTCCTCAGTGTCTGTTGTTCTCGTCTTTATGTCCGAGCGTACTTAGTATTAATATTTAGCTGCCACTTATAAGTTAGTACATGTGGTATTTGGTTTTCTGTTTCTTTGTTAATTTCCTTAGAATAACGGCCTCCAGCTGCATCCATGTTGCTGCAGATGACATGATTTCAGTCTTTTTTGTGGATGTATAGTATTTCCTGGTATATATGTACCACATTTTTCTTTATCTAATCCACCATTGATGGGCTCCTAGGTTGATTCCATGTCTTTGCTATTGTGAATATTGCTGCGATAAACTATCAGGTACAGGTGTCTTTTTGGTAGAACAATTTGTGCTCCTTTGGGTCTATGCCCAGTAGTGGGATTGCTAAGTCAGATGGTAATTCTATTTTTCTTCTTTGAGAAATCTCCAAACTGCTTTCCACAGTGGCTGACCTAGTTTAGGTTTCTACCAACAGTGTACGAGTATTCCCTCTTCTCCACAACCTCACCAATATCTGTTATTGTTTGACTGTTTAATAATAGCTATTCTGACTGGGTGAGATGGTATCTCATTGTGGTTTGATTTGCATTTCTCTGATAACTAGTGATGTTGAGCAGTTTTTCATGTTTGTTGGCCTTTTGTATGTCTTCTTTTGAGATGTGTCTATTCCTTGTTCACTTTCTAATGGGATTATTTTTTTTCTTGCAAATATATTTTTAATTGGAAGGAAATATCAGATATGCATTCTGGGTAAAGTAGTTTTCTTTTTTTTTTGAGTTGGTGTCTCACTCTGTCGTCCAGACTGGAGTGCAGTGGCCGCTCCTGGCCACCGCAGCCTCGACCTGCTGGGCTCCGGCGATCCTTCCGCCTCAGCCTTCCAAGTAGCTGGAACTACAGGCGAACGCTACCATGCCCGGCTAATTTTTTGATTTATTGTAGAGATGAGGTCTCGCTGCCCAGGTGGGTCTCGAACCCGCGGGCTCAGGCGATCCACTCACCTCAGCCTCCCAAAGGCACGGGTTTACAGGCTGAGCCTAGTTTTCTTCACAAAAATAAAGTCTTGTAGGCTTCTTTCCACATGCAGCATATATTATATTATCTTCCCTTTCTTGAACTATAAGACTATACAGGAAAATTGCATAGGGGGTTTCTACATCCAGACATATCTACCGGAAAAAGGTACCATGTTATGTGAAGGCCTAACTCCTTCTCTTATGTCTACAGGCATGTTTGCCACAGTTGCAGGGATATCCCAGCGCGCCCCTGTGCACTGGTCCGAGAATGTGATTGGGGCGGCTGTCTCTTTTCCATACGTCATTGCTCTCGATGATGAGTTCATCACGGTTCACAGCATGTTGGATCAGCAGCAGAAGCAGACCCTGCCCTTTAAGGAAGGCCACATCCTACAGGACTTTGAAGGTACTCAGATGCATGGAAATTTTGGAAATTTGAAGGCGGGGATGGGATTGGCAGTGGTGGGAAACTGCCAGGGGAACGGGGGCCTCACACCTCCTCAACAAGGGCACCTGCATAATGAACATTTGTGTACCTAACCCTGAATTGTACCCTATATATTCAAAATAAGAAAATTATTTTTAAAAACAGAAATCTTAGAAATTTACTTATCAACCCTTTTATGATGGTATCTCTTCAGTCAATGTTATTAAGGGCCCATTAGGAGCTAGGCTTGTGCTAAGCATAGAAGGAACACAAATGACTCTACTGCAGTGTCTGAGTTTCACGGCTGCAAGGTTAATAGGGCGACAGACATTTAAGCAAATAGCTCCAGCAGTTTAAGGACGTAACAGTGATGGAATAAGGCTCACTGGGAGAGAAGAGGAGGAAGTACTTCCTAGAGACGTGAGGCAGGGCTTCCCGAAGGAGATGATATTTGAGCCAAACCCTGAAGGATGAATAGGGATCAGACAGGCAGGTGTGTAAAAGAATCTCCCAGTGGAGAGAAAGATGCACGCACATCTGCGCAAGAGAGAGCCCTGGGCTTCAGGCCAGACAAGCATTCAGTGTGGCGGTGGTGCCTGGTGTGTGTAGAGGGGTGGTGTGGCCTGGGGCTGCAGCAGACTAGGGCAAAGTCAGGGAGGAACTTCGCTTGGTGTGTCAAGGCGAGTCAGCGGAAGGGTTTATTTTTCTTTTCCTCAGCTTTATTTTGAATGCTTTCAGGTATACCATTATAAGCTCTTCACCTGGATTCAAACGTGTTAACATTCTGCTGAGCCATTTGGAAGTCAGTGGAAGACACCACGACATTTAATCCCGAAATACTTCTGCGTGTTCCTCCTAAGAAGGAGGAAATTTTCCTACAAAACCACAATGCCCTTTTTACACCTAAGAAAACTGACATCAGTTGTGTAGCACCATCTCATGCCCTGTCCTGTCCATACTCAGATTTCCCTAGCTGTCTGAAGAAAGCCTTTTACCGTATGTTCTCCCACTGAGGAACAAATCTGGATTTATGCATTGCATATGCCACTTAAGGATTTTAGCTCACCGAACATTGCCCTTGCTGTGTCCAGGCTGTCTTCGATGCTGGGGGCACCAACTAAACAAGACGTGCGGTGCCCACCATTAAGTGGGTCAGACTCCAGCTGGGTCCCTGACACATGTGCTAGGGTAGCTTAGAGAGCAGTATTCTGGTGCTGTGCCTGTGAGAAGTGGGCGCGGCTGTCGCAAACACATAGAGGAGGAGGAGGAACAAAGTGGGGTAGGAACAAAGGGAGGCTTCTTGGAAAAACTGACACCAGGCAGAGGAGGAAGAGAAGCTCGTCTGAGTTATGAGAAGAACTGCTTTAGTGGTGATACCGAAAGCAGAAAGAAAAGATGGTTTAACTGCTCCCTGTGTACGGGCAGTGCCTAGCTGAAAGTTTCTCCAGAAGGGAGCCGAGTTTCATTTGAAAGCTTAGTAGGAGGAGGCCATCTTGGATTGATGTTCTGACACTTCCACGGGCTGCCTGTGGGAGGGGGTTCTCACAGGTAAGCTGAGGACAACAGCGTTGGCTGTTGGCCAGGCTAACTCGCAGGGCTGTGGGAAGGTGAAAGTGTCAATGGTGAGACCTGGAGGTATTTGGATGGTGAGTGAGGATGAATCTCATGACTCAAAGTATTGCATTAGACTCTTGTTTTTATGTAAACTGACTAACTCGGAGGGAAAATTATTTTTAAAAAATGTTACGCCAGGCACATCCTCATTCTTGTTGATAATGGCCCCTGATCGAGGTCTCCAGCTCATTGGACTGTATGTTTTATGTCTACCACATTGATTTTAAATGTACCAGCACTTTTGAATAAAAAGCAAAACAGCAGGTGTGATTGTTTGGAAATGTCATGTTAAGAGTTTGCCCTTTTATGACAGTTGACAGTATGGGAAGAAGAGGGAAGCATTATAACTTACACATTTTGTAGGAATTCTGTTGAGAAAACTGGGATGACATCGATCACCACATCAGTTAATGATTCAGGCTGGGGAAAGTTGTGTGTTTTCTTGCAGGCAGTGTGTATTTTTTTTTTCCCCTTGCCAACAATGTTGAATTCTTTCCAGGAAGAGTGATTGTTGCCACCAATAAAGGAGTTTACATCTTGGTTCCATTACCTCTGGAAAAACAGATACAAGATCTTCTAGCAAGTCGTCGAGTGGAAGAGGCTTTGGTTTTAGCAAAAGGAGCCCGGAGGAACATTCCAAAAGAAAAATTTCAGGTGTGTAATTAACTGGTTACAAGAAAGCTTGCCTCTAAGCTACCAGCTAGGAAACATCTGGATTTAACTAATGTACATCAACCTTTCCTGTATACTATAGGCTATACGCACTGATTTCGTATCTGTTATTTAATTTCCTGAGCAAACTCGCATTTTATAGATAAGGAAACAGACTCCAGGGCAGTCACACAGGTTAACTGAGGACACATAGCTAATAGTGGAGGAGTCAGGTTTTGAAATTCTGCTACTTTGTCTATGGGCTTATATTTCTAATCAGCTTAATTCTTCAACGGACCTACAGAGAAAAACGTACTTCTTATAAACCAAAAGAATGAGGTCAAGTTAATTTTAAAATTTGTCTTTGCCAGGATGGTACTGAATTAAAGTTGAGGTTACTATCCTCAAAGGGAAAAGCTTTGCTAACCACATTGATAAAAGTATCTAATATTGTAGGAACCCATCTAGTTGATTTCCTTGGGACAGAACTTTTAATATACTTTGGAAACACTGATTTTATTTGTTTATTTATTTATTATTATTATTTTTTAAAGAAACACTGATTTTAAATATAATTGGTATGTTAAATGTAATGGATATAAATCAGTTTTCCTAAAAATTATTACTTGATCAGTTGTTAGGTTGTTCAGGTTACTCCATACATTTGAGGGTAACAAAGCGTAATATTGATGTGTGTGTGATCTTCGTACACATATTTACACCGATAATTCAAAGTTTTCAGGAATTAACATCAGTCTGACTTCACACAGGACTATGTGATTGTTGAGGAATGAAGTCTGTTTGGTCACAGTTGCTTTATGCAGCAAAGGGTAGATTCTGAAAGCGAAAGAAGATAGGACTTGTGATTTATGGTCATGGCTTTGAAGGAGGGCGTCTTTTCTAATGTAAACATGAATAAACTTTTCATCTTTGATCCTAACTTTTAAGGCTGATATATTAGAATTCAGCAGGGGGCAGCAAAGGCAAAAAGAAGAAAGCTATTGTTAGTTCAGGGCCTGTGCCTGGGCTGAGCACTTCCCTGCATCAGTGGGAAACCTGCCATGACTGCCCTTGATCTTGGCTTCTCCCCTCCTGTGAGCTGCGCTCTGTGGATATGTTGGAGTCTGGGGGTCCATGCCAGGGTTTCACAGCTGCTGCTGGCCCCTTCTTGCACATACAGCATGTGCACACCTTAAGTGTGTGACATTTATTTACAGGGGCATTCGATGTTCTTTTTTTTTTTTTTTGAGTTGGAAGTCTCGCTCTGTCATCCAGGCTGGAGTGCAGTGGCATGCTCATGGACCAACGCAGACTGCAGACTGGACCTGCTGGGCTGAGGTGATCCTTCTGCCTCAGCCTTCCAAATAGCTGGGACTACAGGCGTGCGCCACCATGCCCTGGCATTCAGTGTTCTTTATCTGATATTTGCTTTTTTTCTCTTTGCTCCTTTCGCCAAGAGTAGAGCTACAGTCAGCAGGGGGTAATATTAGTCGTCTTGTCCGATCTGACGCCTCAGAGTTTATTTTTGTCTATTTCCTTCCTAACCTGCTCTCTCTGTTGCTCCTAACTCCTATGTCTGGCCCTAGAAGTGCACCCCTCGGGTTATCTCCAGTTCACCTGCTATTCTCAGTGTCTGTTGTCACTGCTGGTTTTCGGCCCCTTTTCATATTTTCTTGTGTTATCTTGGTGGCTTCCCTGGTGTGTGTTTGCAGTCCATCTTCTGTGCCACTGATGGAACGATCTTTCTTCAATGCAGACCAAGCCCTTGGCTGAAAATACGCCAGTGGGTGCCATGTTGCCCAGGCAAAGTCCACAGCATTGAAGCATGCCGTGATCTGGCCCTGCGCTGTTCACTGGCCTTCTTAACTTCTGTCCCTCCAAGGGGTGGAGGACAAAGAGGACAAACAACTCAGCCCTCTAACACGTCAGGCATTCCGCAAGACATTTAAAAACATTTTGTAAAAAATCCTCAGGAGAACTCAGTCGTAACCGGTATCCTCATTTTACAGACAAGATCCAAAGTCATGGCAGCTCAGGTCAGTCGTGCCTTGGGAAGGAGGGCTGGTGAAGTCGTGCCGGACCTCTGCACACGGCTCCTCTCGTTGTTCTCCCCATTTCCAGAACGTGCCTTGCACTTTCCCACGCTTCTCTGCCCTCCCGCTCCGTGCTTATTATTTCTGCTCGTTTCTGGCCCGTGGACTGCTCTACTCCGTAAAATACTGTTCAAATCCCTTGCCTACATGTGTCCTCTTGGTTCAGATTTCCCTTCTCATTCAGACAGAACCAAGAATTCCTCCCCCCGCCACACACATACTTCTGTGATTCCGTACAAGAGCCTTATGATTACATAACACCGCCGTGTTATTTATCAGTTCACTCCTTAGCCCCATGCCTGTCTCACTCTACTTCCTGGGCAGGTTCTTCTTCTACAAAGGAAGGGGCGAACGGGGGATTCAGCGCTTCCAGCTGGTTCTCCTGCAGAGCCGTGATCAGGGTTGTGCAACAGGGTGGTTTTATTTAAAGTGGAAATCAAAAGAGACCAACAAGACAGTATCGACCCCAACACAGGTTATAGAAATCACTTTTCCTGAGTGTGCATGTGTTTTCAAGGATTAGGCGTAACTCATGGCTGAGTACATTATTTGCTTTAATTTTGGGATGCTTTTGACCAAATGCTAGTCCCTAGGCTTAGAGAAACCAGCAAAGGAGAGGAAAAGAGGCCTGAGCTTAGTGGACTGGTTCTTCTCTGCTGCACGCCTTTCCCTTCATGTAAAGCATGGACTAGTTTTGCTTCACTGAGTTCTGAACTAGTGAGGGATTTCATCAGGAAGTTAACTGTGGGACTGGGGGGAGTATAGGATTGTTTCTTTTTTTTTGTGAGTTGGAGTCTCACTGTAATACCCAGACTGGAACAGTGGCATGATCGTGGCTCACTGCAGCCTCCACCTGCTGGGCTCAGGTTATTCTCCTACTTCAGCCTCCTGAGTAGCTGGGCCTTCAGGCGCTCATATGTCATCAGTTGTGCTAGAAATGATTTGGCTTTGCTTTTTTTTTTTTTTTTTAATCCTTAGGGAAAACCCCACTAGGGTGTACACTCAAATTACTCTTTTCAGGTCACTTAGGATAGTTCTGCTCTGTATAGTTCTGCCACCAACTCTTACACATGTAGCTAGGTTCGTTTGTTTTCATTTGACTTTTGTTTTCTAGGTATTGCTTTTCAGAATTTAATTTGTTTTGTAATTATATAGCACATTGACATAGTTCAAAAGTCAAATCAACAAAGTATGTTCAAATATACCTAAACTCCATTTCTCGCTTTCACTCCTTTCACTTACTCTTTTCACTGTATGGTTAGTTTTATTTGCTTGTTGTCTCTTTCTCTCTGTCCTATTTTCCCCCACTGCTCCAACCCCTCTTATCCCTTCCCTTCCTCCCACTCTCACTGTGTCTCTCTTCCTTCCTTCTTCCTCATCTTCTTTTGGTGTGTTTGTGTTTATATTTTTTTCTAATGGTTACCTTAATCGTATTAACTTTATAAAATCCCTTGGATTTTCTCTTTTTTTGAGAGGGTTTCTGCTGTTCGTTAGTTCCCAAATCTGAGCAGTGTTGAGATGAGCCATCACCTCTCGCCCCTCTTCCCTTCTTTTCCCCAGCATCTGCTTTGAAATAATAGCTCTTTATTCTCAGCTAATACCTGTAAGGCAGTCAGCAAGCATAGTGTCCTTTTCCTGTAGTCTCTCCTGTTTTAAATTTTAGATAATTTTAGTACCTTATCTAGACTTTTTCAGAGAATATAGCCCATCACATACTAGTATGCCCCCATTATATTTACAAGTCTTAGCTCTGTAGGCAAATATATGTTGACAGCTCACCACAATTTTGTATTGATGTGTCTCCAGTCATTTTGGTTTTCTGAAGCAGTCCTCTGCTCGATATTTCAGGATGGGAATATGGAAACGCTCCTCTGAGTTTGTGCTTGTGACAGTTCATCTGCAGCCTTTATACTTGGCTGGATATAAAATCTTTGATTCACAGTATTTTTCTTTTCTTTTCTTTTTTTTTTTTTGAGTTGGAGTCTCACTGTGTCGCCCAGATTGGAGTGCAGTGGCCGCTCCCGGCCACCGCAGCCTCGCCTGCTGGGCTCCGGCGATCATTCCACCTTAGCCTTCCAAGTAGCCGGAATTACAGGCATGCGCTACCACACATGATTTTTGATTTATTGTAGAGATGAGGTCTCGCTGCCCAGGCGGGCCTCGAACCCGCGGGCTCAGGCAATCCACTCACCTCAGCCTCCCAAAGGCACGGGATTACAGGCTGAGCCACCGAGCCCGGCTCGATTCACAGTATTTTTCAATGAGAAACTTAAGTATGTTCCACCATCATCAGGCATTGTACTTCAAGGTCAGATGACAGTCTGGATTTATTTTCCTTGTAGTGACTTGATCTCTTTGCTTGGATACCCAAAACGTTTTGTTTCTTTTAAGTTCAGTTTCTTGGTGTTGGCAGGCAAACCTGTGAAGCTCCCCCCCACTTTCCACTGGCATCCTTAGTCGCAGTGGTCTGCCCAACTCTTGAGTGGTGCCTGGTGGCCACATGGGGCACTCTGGCTGCTTGGCCTCACAGCCCTTTTGCCCTGTCTCTGCTTCACTCGGTTTCTGATGCTACCAGGTCCTACGGTTGGTGGCGGTCTGTCTCCATTGGCTTGTGCCCTCAGGCTTGTGGGGATGCCTTGTCACTTATTTTGTTATAAATGTTTCTGTGAGTTTTTGGTTTTGCTATCCAAATTGTTCTTTTTTGTTTGTTTGTTTGAAATGATGGTAAAATGCACATAACAGTATTTGCCATTTTAACCATTTATAAGTGTGCAACTCACTAGTATTAGGTACATTCACATTATTGTGCAACCATCGACACCATCTGTCTACAGAACTTATTCATCATCCCAAACTGAGACTCTGTCCCCAATAAACAGCAACGCCCCATCCCCCCTTTCCCCTGTTCTT